GAGAGAGAGAGAGAGAGAGAGAGAGAGAGAGAGAGAGAGAGAGAGAATGAATGGAGTTCATGAACATGAAGCATCTCAAGCAGTTGTCACTGGCTGACAATCACCATAGTTACCAGGTTACTTTCAACCCTCACAGCAGAGATGAGAAACAAGGCTCAGGGGATGAGAAGGCCTGGTCCAAGGTCATTCTGCACCCTGGGCTGTGGCACAACCCAAACCACCCCTGCTCCTTACCCAGGATGTCCAGCCACTCTTCTGGAGCCGGGGCTGGGGCAGGCTCTGGCTCCATGGCAGCCAGGAACTCTCGGGCCAGGGCCCCAGGCTGCTCGGCCTCCTCCAGAGTGGACTGTCCCATGTCCTCCAGAGGTGGCAGCTCACTCAGGTCATCATCATCCTCTTCCTCCTCTTCCTCCTCACCCTCTGCATCCTCAACTCCATCCAGCACCTCGAAGTCTTCAAGTGGTGGGACAGAAGGCGGTGGGGCAGTGGGCTCTGAGGGCTCCGCACAGGATGCCATACTGCTGGGGGGACCGGAACTGGCCCTGAGGAGGGTTACAGATGGGGGTAAGAATCCCACCTAGCCTCTCAAATTATCCACACCACCCACTCCCTGCAAGCTGATCGCCTGCTGTGTGACTCAGGAATTGTGGCCCTCAGTTTCCTCATCTATATAGTGGGTATAACAACAAACCCAGGCTTGTTGAAAGAAATTAACAACCCACTCATCAAGCCCTGAGCATCAGTGTTATCTATTATTAGAACGAATTATTATTTAATCTTTATAAACACCCCAGGAAGTAGGGAACTCCACCCCCAACTACAGAAAAGGAAATTGAGGCCCAGTGGGGCATAGCCATTTGCCCAAAGTCCCAGAGCAAGCCAACTGCAGGGGCAGAATTGAAATGTGGGGTTCCAATCCCTGGGGCTTTATCTGATTAAATGTCAATAAAGAGTCACTGGGTTTTTTTCATTTGTTTGTTTTTTTGGCTGGGAACAGCCCCTGAGGCCTCGGGGAAGCCATTTTTATAGCCTCTGAGCCACTTGTGAAGTTGAATCATTACCAGGGCTTTCTACTCCCACTTGTCCCATCTCCCAAAGAGATCCCCCTCCCCACAACCACCAGCACCAGCCCAAATCACCTAGAACCCCTATGCTTCCACACCCTGAAGCTAATGACCCCAGCCTCAATCTCCCCCTACCAGCCCGCCAAGGGAGACCTTTCTCTAGCCATCCAGCCTCCTTCCCAACCTCTCAAAGCAGCCTTTGGAGTAGGAGAGACACCCCCCCCAGGCATTCCACAGCTTTTTCCTTGCCCCAGGCCTGTCTCCCTTGCCCAAGGCCTGTAGGGAGCCCCCACCTCTATCTGTCCTATCACCAATCGGAGCTAGGCCCCCAGCTCAGGAGACCAAGCCATCACTCACCCACAGCATCCCCTCCTCTATAATCCTCACCTGCCAGGCTCCTTCCGGGATCGGAGCCCCATTCTGAGACCCTCCCAGCGCCCACCCCCACAATCCCCTGCGCCCACACAAATGGGCCTCCCCCACCACCACCCCTAGTCAGGGCCAGCCCCCCCACGGCGGCGCTGTCGCCCCGTAAACACCCGGGTGTCCCCAGACGTCTCGCTCCCAATCCCATAACGCCCTACGCTCTCCGGACGCCCCCTACCTGGGTCTGGCCCTCCGTCAACCACCCACCCAAGCCCCCAACGCCCCAGGCCGGTCTGACGCCACTAATCTGGGGCCCCGACCCCGCACCCCTTGGGCGCCCCCAGCCCAGCACGTCCGCGTCTGCAGCCGCCAGACCGGCTCTCCTCCGCGCCCCGCGGCCCCTACCCCCGGCCGCCAGCGCCTGGCTGCGCCCCCTAGG